CGGGGGGGGGGGCTTCTTTTTGGGGTGGGTCCGTCCCCTTCTCCCCCTCGTTTACGAAGGCCAGCAAAGAGTCTCTCAGCGTCTCGTCCTCGGCTGGCAAACCTCTCCCAACGATGCTCGTTTGCCAAAACCCAGGATTGGACTAATCCAAAGGGACACGACTTAACCGCTGAACAACAACAACTTACAACAACTACAGCCACCATCCTTTTATATGTTTTCATGCCTTTTATGATGGAGATAAAATTAAACAATATAGGGTTAAGAAATGAAAGGACTTTATTAAAGATTTACATGATGAGGATACTCCAAAAATGGGGGATCAATTACAAATAATTTTAGGAAATTTGGGTCATTCATGGTTGCAGATATATCAAATTTTGCATTTCACTGCAGTTCCAGATGTCAGAACACAAACAACTGGAGACAGGACTAAATTTGAAATTAGGTTACATTCATCACCTAACAGGGAGAAAACGAGAGCTTCAAACATGTACAACATTCTAGTAGAAGAGGAGATAAACTTTTTGAATACGTTAAAAGCAACATGGGAATTGGATAAAAAAGCCCTTTTATTTTTGATTTTATAATTGACATAAGCAGCACCGGAATCAATGTTGGCCAAAATTAAGGAAAACTCATTTAATTATTTTATAGATGTTACTTAACACCAAGAAAACTTAGCATGATAAACTCTAATATAAAATCCATGTGCAGGAGAAAATGTAAAGAAATAGGTACATCTATATGGTGTCTTGTAAAGTTGTTCAGTCTTTTTTGTTAAAACAGGACAGATCACAATCCAGGCCATTATATTAGATTTTAAGTTGGCCTTAATAATAGTTTTTTTTATCATCCAAACAACACCTTGAAACATAAAGCTTGACCTGACAGTATTCTTATTTGTTGCAGCCAGACAACCCTAAGCTGACCAAAAAAAGGGTAATCTCAGGATAATACTGAAGATAATTTTTACTTCACCTGGTTTAAACTGATTAATTATGCACAAAAAAGAAATAATGATTGTCTACTACCCAATTCCAGGTTGCTAGATAATCTAATTAAAGTTATATGGATGTTGCTTCTACATATATACTCTATTGCATTGTTAATTAATAAACTTAAGGAAAAAAAGGAGACATCAACCTCATTTAAAAAAAAAAAAAAACCATCAGTACCACTCAGTAAGAGTAATGGATTGCCAAGGTTAAAAAATGAAACTTCTGCTTGGCGCCAGGTGCCTGTTCCTGGGTGAGAATATGACAAATAGTAAAGGCATGCAAGTAGTGTTTTAGTTCAGATTTAATACAAACTCTGGAATTCATCATAGCAGTTAAATCCTACTGGATAAAATTATATCACAATCTCAAAGAATATTCTCTTCCCTAAATTGTATCTGCTCCTCCCACATCCACCCTGACGTCAGAAAATCAACAGTAGGCCTGCAATGGGCTAAATTAGTCAAAAAAGACTCAGATATCCGATTCAGAGCTTTTTTTAAAGGGTAGAAAATAGTCATTTATTTTACTTTTAATGGTGAGATGCCACAAACTTTCCCACTGTAACTAGTGAAAGAGGTGGACTAACCCTTGTTTCCCTTTTTAAAACATATTAGCTGATTTACATATAATGTTAAGGCATCATAGTTTGTGAATAAGCCACTATTGAATGGGTTCACACAACCTAAGTCATTACCACTGTTTGCAAACTGCAAGGTTTGGATTTGTACAACATGCTAAGCCAAAACTAAATCAACCATTTGAAGCCTTAGCACAATGTATGAATCTTGTAATTAGCTGGGTTTATATTTTGAATTTATTCAAAACACCGTTTCCATTTGCTTGTTTGTGGCTTGAGGGGATGGGTGAACCCATCTATTATGATATGCAAATCATAATGAATGGGTTCAGACAAATAATGCCATTGGTTGGGTGCTGTGTGAATCCAGCTATCTGATTTATTCAGCAAGCCATGGTGTAGCACAATAGTTCAGCATAACTTATTTGAAGTATGGCACTAAGATAAGACATTGCATTGTGGCCCAGCTATTGTAGCCTGTGGCTTCATATGTTGCATTAATCCAGACAACTATCGTTTATGTAATAACTTCAGCATGCTGAACCCAATCATTAGCCTAGTTTGTGTACTGAATTAAGCCATGGTTTGTTTCACCATAGTTTTCATATAATAGTGGTTGAGTCCACAAAATAATAAACCCCAATCAACCACCTTACATTTTTGTGGAATGTGAGGATGCTGTTACCGTCTTGCTATTTTTAGAGGCAGCCAGAAGTTTCAAAGGAGTTATCATGTGAAAAGGGATCCCACACTCAAACCAATAAAGAAGGAGCAAGTTTGTGTCTGAATAAATCCCCATTATGGAGAATATTGAAAAGAATACAGTGGGCTAGCAGAAAGGGGGGGAGAATAAATATGTTTTAAAAGCTCAGTTACATTGGTGTAAATTCGTGTGTGTGTATGCATTTGAATTTTATATCCGAACAATAATAAAAAACTATATTTAATATATAAAATGAACAGCAGGACTGAATTGTAATAGTTGCTAATGCAGTTATCTAGCCTTATTCTTTATTATTATTATCAGAACGGACCCATGAGCAACCAGCCAGATCTGGAAGGAACTACAGAATATGGAGCTGTCAGATAAACTTCTAGGTCCCCCTTATCACCAATGCCTGTAAGCATTTTCTCTAAGCACTCATCTTTAAGAAAATAAAGTATTTCATGAACTCACAATGCAGAGAGAACTTACTTTTCTCAAAAAGGAAGGGTTGCAAACTGAAGTTTATAAATACATAAGCTACACTTAGTTTGCCTATATGAAATGGGGAGTTAGGAATTCTGGTAAAGCTTGCTGAAAACAGCCTCAAAAGAATCAATGAAGTACCAGATGAGCAAAACAGAACCCCCACCAGCACTGGCAAAGCAGGCCACAGCAGATAAATAGAGAGCACACCCC